AATCATACTACCTCTGATCCTAATTATAAGATCTCGTTTATAAACTATAAATGAGGTTTTATAATTAGAACCGTATGTAATATTTTTTAATAACCGTGAAATAGGTAACGTCTATCAATTTAAAACAAATTTAATGGCTTAACTAATTTTTTTAGCTTGTCAGAAAACTTAATTAATTTATTATATTATCATGGATGGGAGAGGGTACATCAAATATGCATCAATGTTTCTCTTCTTGTGATTCATTTGGAGTAATTTATAAATGGTTTTTCAATTATAATTTATAAAATATAAGATAAATATAAAAAAAACAAAAGTTTTATTTCGATTTTTGCCACATCAGATTCTAGTTTGGGGTCTTAGAAGATGAGTCTTGAAACTGATTGGTCCTCACCCTTAAGAATCGATTCGAAAGATGAAATGCCTTCTTTCAGAAGTACATGTTATCACCCAAAGCACGATAAGGCGTGAACCCGTACATATGAAAACAAACAAACACGTTCATTAAAAAATTTAAAAAAGAATGCTGCCCCAAAAAAGAAAAAAGAAAAAAGAAAACTATGGATGCATACGCATATTACGGGTGTAAAATACGTGGGTGAAATTTAAATGATTCCAAGATTAATTATCTTTATTCTTTTAAATTGAAGACCCGTCATATTAAGCAAAAATAGGGTTTTTTTTACTCAGATACGATAAGATCAAAACTATTTACTAAAATACTACACCCGAAATCATTCAGACCGTGAACGACTTTAAATTTGTACAGAACTTGTTTTTAGTTCAAACAATTTTAGTGGGACCCACATCAGAAAATGAAAGTTATTTTTGGTTTGACCAACTTCAGTGAGACCCACATCACGAAATGAAAATTGTTCTTAGTTTGAACAATTTTAATGGGACCCACAATCTATGTTTGTTTTATGCTCCAAGTGAAATTACTTCCTTCCATACCTTTTCAATTTTCATTTGACCAGACCATACTTTTGTTTTTTTCCTATCACACGCAAAGTCACCCAGGAAGTAGTCTTTCATTGTTTGAAGCTCAACTCACGCATAAGGATTTCTTTCCTACATATTCCCATCAGTATAGGACTCATGGAGTGGTCATTCATTGTCTTCAGCTTTATTTTGGCATGTGAGTGCATAGTGTAATTTTGGTCTATATAATGGCATTCGACATTCCCACTCCATCTATCTTCTCATCACTTCTCAAATTGTTTTTAAACTTGGCCGATTCCTTCCATTCTTCTTTCTCCTTCCACACTTTCGCGTGAAGTAGGTGGTGTGTTTGGTCTTGCAATTGTATACATTTTATCTTTGCCTGAAACTTGATTTTTCTTACGAATAAAGTACATTCTCTTGATTAGTTTTTTTAAAAATTTTGGTATGTATTTTGCTAAATGATGGATAAAAATTTTATATTTAGTCATTTTTACATGTTGAGTATGTTTTAATTAAAAAATATAGACATATAATTAATTGTCATATAAAATAAATTGTAGTTTATTTTTTTATAATATGATTAAATATATAACTGTTTTTTTAGTAGATAGTGTTTGAGTAAATATGTAGTTAAATTAAATATGCATCTGGTTAGATAATATTTGGTTGTGAGCTTAGTCTGGTCTTATATCTGGTGAAAACTAGTACTAAATGATGCCTAAATTTTCCTGATAGAAAGAGTACTGATGGTGGGATTAATAATAATGAAAGAGAGGAGTTTTGTTTATTTAATTTTTGGGGAAAATTAAAGAGGAGGACTTAGGAAAAGCAATATTTATTAAAGATAATCATAAAAATTATAATTATTTAGGGAGACCAAATCATAAAATATAAATTTAAAAAAATTACTCAACAGCAATGGCTAATTATTTTGTCATATTAAGTAATTATAATTTTTAAATAACTAGTGTGAAATAGTTATTAACATTTATTTTTGTTTTCAATTGTAAGGATTTTTTTGGATCACTTAAACAGTACCTAATGTAAAATTACATAAGTACATTTATTATAAGCTTATCATTATTCAATGTAAATTTACCTTTATGTGCTAGTCAAATGATAATTATATTTCTTTCAGCCTCTAATTTCTAAAATGTATACAATTACAAGATCGCACACACCACCTACTTCACATGAAAGTGTGGAGGGAGAAAGAAGAATGGAAGGAATCGGTCAAGTTTAAGAACAATTTCAGAAGTGTTGAGAAGGCAGATGGAGTGGGAATGTCGAACGCTATTATATAGGCCAAAATTACACCATACATTCCCATGCCAAAACAAAACTGAAGACAATGAATGACCACTCCCTGAGTCCTATACTGATGGGAATATGTCAGGAAGGAATCCTTACGCGTGAGTTGAGCTTCAAACAATGATAGACTACTCCCTGAGTGACTTTGCGTGTGGTAGGAAAAAAACAAAAGTATGGTATAGTCAAATGAAAATTGAAAAGGCATGGAAGGAAATATTTTCACATGGAGCCTAAGACAAACATGGATTGTAAGTCCCATTGAAGTTGTTAAGACCAATAACAACTTTCATTTTGTGATGTGGGCTCCACTGAAATTATTCAGACCAAGAACAATTTTTATTTTCTGATATGGATGCCACTGAAGTTGTTTAAACCAAGAATGAGTTTTGTTCAAATTTAAAGTCGTTCATGGTCTGAAAGATTTCAGGTGTAGTAAATTTTTTACTGTTCATCACATCTGAGTAAGAAAGCCGCAAAAATAGCCAGATCTTTCTTTCCTTTTTTGTTTAATTTAATAGGGCTTAACTGCTATTAAACAGAGTTGTCCCGCTCCCAGGTTACTGATATGGTCGCAGTATGCCAGTGAGGATACTTTTTGTCCCTATAATAGCATCTTGCTCTCGTGAAGTTATTTTTCCAACTACTAAAATATTTTCCACGTCCATCCTTGCGTATGGCTTTTCCCTCTTTATCTATAGGACATTTGCTTATAATAGGACTTTAAGGACTCGTTTAAAATATCTTGTAAGTAGTTATTCAATCAAAATTTATAAAATATAAAATAAATATATGTGAAGAGTGTTCTTTCGATTTATATAAACTATGTCTATTAGTACTTATGAGTTATAACTGTGATTAATAGACTTTTTTATAGATTGATTGGGAAAAAAGCTTATTTAAAAAATCTAAGTTCACTTTAAGTTCTATAACTGATTTAGAAAGGGGTGCTTTTTATGTTTGTTGCTTTTACATGTATCTCAAAACTAATCTAGAAAGTAAACTTAATTGATTCAGAGAATCCTCACTGTGATAGTGAACTTTGAATACATTGAGATTCTTGTGCCTCAACTTATTTTATGAAATACAAAGACAGTTAAAAAGAGTGCAAAGAAAATGCTACTACCTCCGGTCATAATTATAAGAGTCAGTTGACTAATTTGAGAAGATTAAAAAAAATAAGTTAAATTAATTATTTGTAATAAACATGTGTTATTTTTCCTAAAATATCCTTACTAATTAAATATATAGGTTAGAATTACCATTACTAGAAGGACTAAGTTGAGAAAAAATACATAAATATAAGAGACAAAATAGATTGGGGTCTTATAATTAAGACCAAACTAAAAGTCAAACGAAATCTTATATTAAGGACCGGAGGTAGTAATTAACATCATGTAGCTTATTACAAAATCAACTGAAAATAAGTCCCCACGTTTGACATTAAGGATGTCAAGAGCTGTGACTCCGTTCAAATGATATTTCTTGTAAACCTGCCAATCGGTACATCGATTTGCCTCCTCCCCAGAAACCAATCATTTGTGAATTAACAGGAAAAGGTAATTTGAGTTTAAAAGTTGAAAGCATTCCTCATTTCAATACGACTGGTCAAGTATGTTTTTTGCATCTTCGTATGTTCCCTTACCTAGGCGTGAGATTCATGATCGCTTTAGGGTTTGTTTGTATTTACTTTTAAACAATTATAAACATTTTTACGCACATATTTATATGATATTTTATAAATCATGATTGACAAACTGATTTTAAAAGTTCCAACCATAATTCTGAACAAACCTTTAATCTTATGCTCCAATGTCATTGGATTGAGATCTGCCTTCTTGGTCTCCCATGTTTCAAAAAGTATTTTTCTACCCGATCCGCGGGGGTGGGGCAGTTCGAACAAATGCAAAAAAAAAAAAAAAAAAAAACCCACTACAGATTCAAATTCATTTGAGGAGGTGTTTAGATAGAAACCAAACCATAATTTCAAAAGTGTTTTTACAGTTTACAAAACAAATATATAAAAAAATTTATCTTGTTTTACTCAGAAATACTTTTGAGAGTTGTCAAATACCCTCTAAAAACGATCGGTATGTTAACGAGAAAAGTAAATAAAATAATAATAAACCGGATTGGGGCCTCACTTATGATGCGAGAGTGGCCCGCATAATTTTCTTTTAAGATTCATTAATATCGATGCATATAAGTACTGTACGAGATGAAATTATTTATTATTCATAAACAACATTAAGACAGCTTGGTGCATAAAAAAACATTAAGATAGTTTGTGTATTAAAAAAATTAGATAGATAAACAACTGCCTCAAATTATTATCTATTTTTATTCTTTAGATAAAAAAATAGTTTAAACAAATTAATAAGTCTTTTGGTTTCAATTTATTTTTCAATGTATATTAATATTTATTTTTAGTAAATAAAAAATATATTTGAATATATTTTTATATGATTATTTGATTAAGTTACATTTTTGTTATTCAGACAGGCTGGAATTTAAAATTAAGAGAACTACTGTGAAACTCCAAATAAAGGATATAATTATTAAAAAATCTCAGTGATAACACAACAATCTATAATAACAAATTTTAATATAATACATGACAACCACTCACTTGTCATTACAATTTAATTGTAATTATTTTAAAAAAAAAATCTTTTGTCATTTTTCCTTAAAATTTCATATTTAAGTGGCCAAAAAAATGATATTAAAAAAAAAATAGTAGGTGCTTACACAAACGGCTTCCGAGTGGCGCCCATTTGCAAAGGACTGGTCGTTGGATTTCCTTCCGCAGATACAGAGCTTTTCTTCTTTGTTATACCAAACCCGTACTAGAAAATACCAGTTCTTCCTTCTGATTCATCCTCTTCTCTCTCTGCTATATCCATGGAAGATCCTCCAAACCATCGCACCCCACAGCTTCTCCAGGTCCTCCAAGCTCTCAAAGAAGCTTCCCACAACTTACAAGTCAACCCCAGTCAACACTCCGACGATTCCAATTCCTCCGCCATTAAAGCTCTGTTGGAGCTACACACCGAGTCCGATGCTATCCTTTCTGGCGACCCAAATCTTTCTTCTCTTTCTAAGCACCTCACTGACCTCAAGGATTTAGTTGAGTCCCTTAGAAATACCAAAGGAGGCCTTGGCCTCCGGTCTTTTCTCGCGCGCCGAACCTCCGCTTACTCCATTTCCCGAATCGCAGGGTCAATTGAGTCTGAGATTCAGAAGTGGATAGACCGCGAAAGCGTTGGCAATTTGAGCAGAGCTCTCCGAGAGCCTATGCGCAACGAGGAGGAATTGGTGAACCTTTTGGATCAATTTGAAGAGAGGCTTTCCCTAGGGTTCAGCCGTGAATTTCAGGATCTGGTTCTCCGATTGAAGGTGTTTTCTTCGCTGGAATCGATTTTATGCGATTCTAAATGCTCGAAGAGAATCCGAGAACACTCGGCCTTAGCTATCGCGGGATTGATTCGGTTTAACAAGGACGTCTTCGTAGGCCAAGTCTTAATGGGTCCATCCGTCAGTGCCCTAACCTCAATGGCTTCCCCGAATTCGATTCAAGTCCTGTGCTCGTTAATTAGATCCATAAAATCTCCTATTGTGGACGAAATCAAGTCGAACGGCGAAATACCGAAGATCATGAGCTTCTTAAACTCACAGGATTTACATATGAAAGTGATGGCCATGGATTGTGTGCTAGAAATTGGGTATTTCGGGAGGAAGGAAGCGGTTGAGGCTATGTTGAAGGAAGGTTTGATAGAAAAACTTATAGAGTTGCAAAGGTCCGAACTGGGTGGTGATTTGATCGGCATCGATCAGCATAGCGAGAAAGAAAAAGAAGAAGAAAGTGGGGTCAGTGTTGGAGGAGTGGTAGAAAAAGGGAAGAGGGAAAGCAGGCAGAGACGGTTCCTGCAAAACCATCCGTTTGCAAGCTGTGTGGCAAGATTTGCAGTTCAATTAGAAGTGGGAGAAGGGTTGAGGCAGAGAGAAAGAAGAGCTTTCAAGCAAGAGATTCTGACGAGAGTAAGGGAAGCTTCCGTTTCTGATGCTGAATCTGCCACCATTATTGCCGAAGTTTTGTGGGGCTCTTCACCATAAGCGAAATATGTTGAACCCAAAACAATTTCCCCCCCTTTCTTGTTCTTAATCTTATACCAGAATTTGTACTCAGAGCAAGGACATTACACCTTGAAGGACTCGCCATTGAGACCAAATATGCTTAGTTTTGATGTTATTAGAGTGTGAGAAATATATTGTTAGGAGATATGTTGCAAGAATTCATCGTATTTGAATGTATATAATGTAGCTAGAATTAGGAGCAAGATTTAAAAAAATAGATGATCGGAGGTATAAATTGAATGTATGCTTCGCATTCTTTTTATATTCTCAATTTGTTTGACAACGTTGGATCGTGATTAAAATTGTCAAGGCCGATGTCTGATGATTCTTCGGTTTTGGATGGTCAATTTGTTGTGTCAGCTGAAATTTTAGATGCAAGAAGGGTTTGGTACAAGTGTAGTAAGCAAGAGGGTGGCTATGGAATCTGAATTCTGAAAAGGAATCGTTATGGGATATGCTGGAATAAGAGGAGAGCATGAGGAATGATTCCTGGCACGTGCAATGTAAACATGTCTAAAAGTACACGTCTTAGGGTGTGTTTGGATGAAACCAAACCGTGGTTTGAAAAAGTGATTCTGGAGAATAGATTCTGGAAAAAATAGATTCTATGAAGAATAGATTTTGTAAAAAAGTGATTCTGAGAAGTGAGAGTGTTTGGATAGTTGTTATCAGAAGCACTTTTTATATATACAAATTACTAAAAAAAAGACATAAGTTAATATGATAATTACAGAAAAAATAGATTTTATGATATATTTTAATTTGAAGAAATAAAATTGTTAATAATATGTTTTTTACCAACATAATTAATAATACATAAGATAATATAATTAATAAATAATTAATGTCTATATATATTTATAAAATATAAGATTAAATATATTTATAAAAAAATATGTTTATAAAAAAAATAACAAGATACATATCATATAGGCCCACACACTCTCCCTTTTTTCTCCAAAAGCAAAAAAATTTTGCTTTTTCCAAAACCATGGTTTTGGTTTTTGGAGAGGCTGTTTGGGTAGCATTTTCCCCAAACCATGGTTTGGGTCCCCAAACCATGGTTTGGGGTGCTATCCAAACAGAGCCTTAGAATATGCAAATTGCAAGTGGCTCAGTCCTCAATGGAAATATATTTTAAAAGTCAGTTTTTTTTTTTTTTCCCACACAGAAGATCTAACATCTAAATTTAAATTGGAAGATGTCCATTTGGTTGGAGGGGAGGACCGGAGGGGGAGTGGCTGTTCCTTCCTATTGTCTGGTTAAAACAATACGGAGGGGGCTTTTCTTTTTAACCCTCTCCTTCTTCAATATTGGGGATTCAGAGAAATTACTAAAATTCTTCCCTCAGCTCCATACCGTTGAATTAATCAACCACTATATAAACCAAAAACTAAATAGATAAATTGGACGACTCTGCCAACCTTCGGCTATATTTCCATGATAATGAGGTAAAACAAATTCCCATAATATTCACTCTTGATAAATTATGAATAATAAAGTTCGTTTATATGTATACAAATGATATTTTTATATTCTAAACGGGCCTAAATATACGAGTTTTACAATAAATTTTAATTGCTCAATGATAAGTATCACTAAATATAATACAATACCCAGTTTATCCTATTAAAGTAATTTCTAGGATTATATATTCAATAATATAGAAACGGGATCGCATCAATATAATTAATTATTATAATCAAAGGAAAATATATAATAAACACAACACTATCGTTAATATCACTTGTGAACTGTTTCAAAATGGTTCTGACGTGTTTTGAAATGTATTGATGCATTTCAACATGTAGCAAATAAAAAAATAAATACAATACAGACAATTTACGTATCCCACAGGAAGGAAGACGCCTTTTGTTACGTCGAAGTGATAATTTCATAGGCAAGAAAGATGAATCATGATAAGGGATGATTTATGATTATGTGAAGTCATTTTAGAATGCGCTGCCAACACAACGTGATGTGATGTCTAGTGAATGATGCAGCATCCAAATTCCAAAGCCACTTGGATAAACGTAACGGAGAGAATTCAATCAATCATGAGCCCTTAAGACCTTTTCTAAGGGACCAGGATGGGCTTTATCTTTTGTTTGATTAGCGGTGCCATATTGAGTCCATGCAATTAACCTTTTTTGTTATTTATTCTAAAGGGTTCGACTTCCATATATATCAACCTCTCGTTTGTTGTTGCAACCCTTCTGCTTCACACTTTCCTACAATCCGTTCATGCCCCATGTTTCTCAGAGATAATCATTAACAAAATGGAAATTCTCGTAAAAATATTATTATAGTAAGATACTCCTCCGGTCCTTAATATAAGACCCATTTAACTAATTTGATTAGATTAAGGAAGTTAGGTAAGTTAGTTAATTATAAGAAAAGTGACACATTTTTCTCAAAATACCATAATCATCTTTCTTAATACCCCATCTCCCTCTTCTACTTGATTATGGGTGAGAGAGAGTATCTATAGGGGTAATTCAGAGAAAATTGATAAATGGATTTTATATTTAGGACCAAAACCAACTCAAGAATTGAGTCCTATATTAAGGACCGGACGAGTATTTAATTATTGATGTGATTTGTAATTTGAATAAGAAAAAATCCAGAAGTCTCGGCACCCACGCGGTCATCCAGGCTGGATCATAGGAACATAGGAATTCATAATCTAGAATTTGCCAAACAAATCAAAAGCTTATGTCAGCAAGCACCCAGAGGTGGCCCGGCTTCTAAGTCTGGGTTACATCATCCGTCTTTACTTTTAATTACTCAATGCACAAGTAAGCTGTAAGCCGAGACTGCTGTCTGGTCAAAAAAAAAAAAAGCCGAGACTGCTGAGAGAATCAGATATAAATTTTGTACTATTTTTTGGGATGATCCTACAAAAATAAAATTGCCAAATCATAAATAAAGAATTTCATCACTTATCAACATTTGGGAGTATTTTTTACCAAAAAAAAAAACACTTGGAGTATTCGAATGAAATACGAGTAATTGATATGTAAGTTTATAAGTTTTCTATTTAGACAAGTTTTTTTGTAGGGATGGAATTCTAAAGGACCGCAAGTTACATTGTAGATAATAGACAAATAAAGAAACTGATTGGTTAGAAGCTGATGAGCAGATGTTTGGAGGCCGTGCACTTTAAAAAAATATTTTCCTGCAAATTGAAACAAAATTTTGCTCACAAGTTTATCTTAAATTTTATAAAAATTACTTTTAAAATCTTAATTTAGTGTTCATCCAAACACTCCTTAGATACATTTATGCAAGAGATCTTCACTGTTCACTTAATCATATGACCCTATGTCCTTGTACCTTTTTTTACAATTAAGGAAAACAAATTCTTTATTAAAGATTTTATTATTGAGAAGAACATGATCAGTTCCTAAGTTCCTATACACATAAAAGTATCAGCATTTTGCAATTGGCAAAAATCCTTCTAAACAATAAAAGTTTTAACAGAGAAGTTCCCCAATTTCTCCTAATTTCTCTCCTTGACTTGAACACTATATTTTATGTTCAAATTCAAAGGGAAGCAAAACGAACTTGCATAAAACAGTGGAAGTGACAACTTCTGCGAGAATCAAGCACGATTTAACCATCCCACGAGAAGAAGGCAAAGGGATTCAAAGGCAGAGATCGTATTTTTTACTGTGTTCGGTTACAGGGAGTCGGGACTCCATTATATGAAAATGAACTTCTGAAAGCAAGCATCAGCATGAGACGATGTACATTGCTCTATCCAAAAAATAGTCTAAAAAGCCTCAGGAACACTTTTCATATTTCTTGGAAACATCGCTGTGTTAAATTTATCCACATTCCAGCTTACTGGAACAATAAACGAAACCAAAAACTTTCGTTGCTTTGCTATGCTACACAGTCCTAATTTATTTTGTTGATTCCTTATTTTTCAGAAACACTTCTGATAGAAACAGGTTCAAGAAATCAACCTTTGACATTCTTCAAGACAGGCATCGGTAGCATCAAGAACAACAAAATTCTCGAGCAGCCTCCTCAAAAGAATTAAAATCTACATGTTTTCCCTCGGCAGGGAAAGGACTAAGTCTATGTTTGGTATCTAGACTACTTCACCACTTCAATTAAATCCATAAACAGAAATGAGATGAGTGCCAGAAAATCAACACCTTAGCCCCCATCCCTTGCTTCCTTCCTCATGTTATCAGCTCCCTTTGTACGTAGCAAGCCATTGAAAATTGAGAACACTGCAACAAGAGCAATTTGTAAATGCTCTGAGCTACTTGTCTTTATACATATTTTCCCCATTTTCCGACTATTAAGATTAGCACTAACAGAAGCCTTAGAATTTCTGCCCAGCCTGAATTCGGATTGTAAGCTTCCACTCAACACCATCTCTTTATTGGAGGAGAGGACTGTCATTGCAAGACTTACATTGTCATTTCTCACAGGAAAATCTCCTCCTCTTAGTGTTGCTTCAAAATTCCCACCATATGCCACTTGCCCGGCACCTACTATGCGGCCTGCATTTAGGACAAATTTTAGTCTTTTCCCAACAAGAACAGTATCCTCAATCTTAGCACCGATATAATACTTCTTCCCAAAAGATGTCACAGAAACACCACAGTCTGCAATATTATGCTTTATGTTTCTCAACTTTGTGTTGCTATGAATCGTATAAATCATATCTTTACCAACAGATTGAACATCAGCACCTATAGAATTCGTAAGACCCCTAGGATCCACGTAAGCTGCAGCACACTCTGATTGAATATTAAAATCTTGCTTGTCTTTATTCATTTGTCCGGTAAGCATTGCATATGCATTCTTGTTTATTTCCATAGCTGTCTCCAAGTTTATACCATCGAAGCCCACATCATGATCCCATCCCTGGGGATCAAGAACAGGTCTTGCAAGCCATTGGTCACTTGCAATAAGGCCACGATACCTATGAAAAGGACAGTCTGAGTCAAAACTCACAGGAACAGCCATATCTGGTAACAGAACAGGCTCTGGAGGTTGCTGCTGATCTTCAGGATGATCAGTATGCAACAAATTTTGCTCCTTCATGAGTGTCTTCTCTCTGTGTCTACGGTACTCTTCTTTCAACTGTTTCTTTAAGTACAGAGTCTCTCTGTAATCCAACTCATCAAGATATTCTTTTTTCTGCACCTTGGACAATTTTTCAAACTGGGCCTTTTTCAAGATTCGAATGGATGGCAATTGATCATATTCATCTTCTTCTTCCACATCATTGAGTAATATTTGATCAATTTCATCATCCATTCCACTCGGATGGGATACAGAGTGTCGCCGTAAAAGGGATGAGAGAAGATGAGGCAGAGAAGGCATTCTTGCACTATTTGAAGGGCCCAGTTCAACACTGTTCTGAAACTTAAGGAGGGAATTAACATCAGCCAGAATTTTGGTACAAATGCAAAATAACAAAAATTGAGATCTCCAGACTCTTCCATTTGGAAGAATCTTCTCCCCCTTGATATTTTTTGGACACAGAGGATGGTTCTCAACCAAGAGAATGGGGTTTTCAAGCCTTGAGTCAGAAACTGCCTGATGAATATAGTGCTGCATTAATTTAGTACATTGAGACACATATAACTCATGATTGACAATATGCCCATCAGGTCCTTCCAGAATAGCTGAGTGGGAATGAGTCATGACAAGGATAGTGTTGAACCAGATTGCTGAGCCAAATACTTCAGTTATAAGCTTCAGAATAGGGAAGTCATTAGAGCCCACATTGACAAGATCAAGTCTTTCAACATACAAAATAATGTCTGGGGGGGACTTTCTAATGAATCTCTTTATGGAGAGCAAGATCCTCTTATTTTTCTTCACATTACTAGTAGAGGAAGGCAGGAGGCCAGGGGTATCTATCACCCTTACTTTAAACCCATTGACAGTTCCAACAACTTCCTGAATCCTGTTAGTTGCAGGTCCAAATGCATCAGTTATGGTTTTAACTTGATCAAATATGGAATTTATGGTAGCACTTTTACCGACTCCTGTTTTACCCAGGACAAGTATGCTGCAGGAGAAATCCAATTGGGGAATACCAACTGCCTCTTGTTCACTTGCCAATGCTCGTGATTTGCCTATGCCAAGGTTAACACTTTTCAGATCTGATTCTCCAGCACGTATCAAGGTTGCTAGGTGCATCCGATAAAGAACCTTTGCAACCATGAGATCTTCTTGTGACTGGCCAAGACGCTGAAGCAGTCGGAAAAACTTAACTTGGAGATCTTCAATCTTTGCCAAGGGATCCTTCTGCTTTCCTATGACACGATGTTGAGAGTGACAGGGTTCTGTTTCTGAGACTTGCTGCATGGTGGAGTTATGTTCATCAGAGGAGTTCAATGTAGTAGAAGCAAGTGATGGCACTACCAAAACATCTGACTGAACCAAACCTAACCAAGAAAAAAAGTCATCAGCTGTAGCTCAAATTTATCAATTGTTGGCGAACCCGGACACTAGCCATCACACTCATGATACTTTGTCCTGGCAAAGAAAGTTATTAAGAATTTCAGATGGTTTATCAAACAAACAATCAGGTTCAAGAATTTCTGTTTCCATCCCTTCCAAGAGCTGATTCGAGGCATTATGTCATTCTACTAGTCACAAGCTGACACATAAAGAAGTATACAGACAACCATGTAACTGGAAGATGTTTATTATTCCATGCATTTGGCAACTAGCTTAACCAGGGTTTTATTTGTCAAGCACAACTTGCATGAAGATCTTCAGTTGGAAGAAATTCTATGATTACATTTTCATTTTCAGTAATTCCAGACAAGCAATGAAAAAAGTACCTTGTTCTTCATGTTCTCCGTTCTGAGGTGCCTCGTCATAGAAACTACCACTGCCTGATAGTGGTCTAGATGAGATTAATGACTTGGATAGCAACTGAGAGAAAACCCAATCTCTAACACTTTTCATTCTTCTACAAAATAAGAAAAGAAAGGCCCAGATAATCATCATCAGGCAATGCCTCAAAACAAAACATGCAAAATGTTTATCACATGCGATCAACAAACCACTCGAATGGTCTTCTGCTTCTGCCCCCCAGTTGTTCAATCAGTAAACGGTACATTTTATCCAAGTTCAATGTGAGATCAACCAAGTTTTGTTATTTACACGCGTGGTGGTTGGGGAAACAGATGCAACATAACAAGTTTAAAAAAAAAAGGTTAAAGAAATATAGGAGCCATAGTTTAAATTCCATCTTCCTCATTAGAAACCAATACTGAAATCACAAACAAAGCGCTGCCCCAATGGTCAGTCAACGTCACGACATACAATCTTAGTTCATTTGCAAGATTATAAGTCAGAGAAAGCCTTCCATAAAATGCAACAATCATCATAAGTTTCGAACTTAACTGATGAAAAGCAGAGAAATTACAATCGAAATAGTTACCTTCAATATTAGATTGCACCAAGCAACTTGGAGCTCAGCATCAAACAAACAAACCAGAGGATAACAGAAGGTCACATTGGCAGCAACAAATCACGTTTCTGGGTAACATATACTCTCTATGATACTCCAATTCGAGGATGTATTCCTCCCGCACCTAATCATCAACCTCCCAAAAACCCTAATTTACGATCAAGGAAAGGAATAATCAAAGCCACCAAGAACTTGACGCTAATTGGAGAATCCGAAAAGACCCAAATTGCTTCCTTTTTGTGGTGAAATGAAGAGGAAGAAGGTGGCGTGAAGATTGAGGGTGAGGAAGAAGATTTTCCCGGATAAGACAGAGACAGCGCCAAACACACCTTTTGGCTTTTCCTTCCTTTGGTCTTGTTTTAGTTTCTCCGACTTGGGTCGATTTTGCACCTCTTCCTCAGGATTCTGGAACGAAAAGCGGCAAAAAACCAAAACGCGAGGTCGAAATGAACCGGGGGTAGGAAATAAATAAATAACATAGGTAAACCGGGATAAGTCATAAATGAGACAACTTGATGCATTCAGGACCACTTAACATACGACAACTCTGCGTTTGATCAAGATTTTAGTATTGGCATATTTTTACTTACAAAATCTATTTTTTTTTTATAAACACTTGCAAAATCTAATTTAAATTACTTAAATTTGATATAAATGTCTTCTTAATTATTAATAATTTCATTTTTTTTTCCTATAGATATCTCCCAGCCGACAACTAAATATTAATACCTTTTAAGGCACAAAGATCATATAAGTAGATTTTGCCCTTTTCAATAATATCTTTTTTATGCCCAGGACTTTTTTTTTTAATTCAATCATTCTAATTAAATGAAAACACTAAAATAAATAATCAATATTAGTATAAAATATAAATCATTCATCACCAATGTTAGAAAAAGAAATGGAAATAAATTTCACTTGACAATAAATGTTAGAAAAAGATGTTCAGCAAAAGGAACTCAGCTGATTACACTTGCCATCCATAGCTTATGGACTTGCGATTTTAACAACGTACACATTTTTTATAGTATATAAAGTCTAAAAAAATGAAATGTACTATATTATATATTTAGATTTGGTGTATTAGCTTAAAATTATCACCCACACACACTGACACACACATTGATGCATTGATGATTTCCATTTTCCACCCTTTAAACATGGTGGTTATAAAAACATAGAAATAGATAAGGAATTGGAAATGCCAACGCTCACTTAAAGCACTAAATAACTGGAATAGAACTTCTTGTGGAGATGAGCATCCGAAGTACCCATTACAAGGTGACGCTGAAGGGAACCCAATTTGACAGACACACCAAAATATGACAAATAAAGTTTCAGTGGACAGACAAAGGAGAGGTTGGATACTGAGACCTAAAAAGAAACAATAATACCTCCTTTTTTTTTTTTACCATAAATCTTATTCACATATCAACTTAATGCTAAATGTGTTTTTCAACGCTTAACCTATGATTCAAGCAGAGTCTGTACGTCACAACAATTCAAGGAACAATTATATTCATAAATTTCCTCTTTGCAAATGCCAGCCACCATTTATTGGGAGTCCCATTGGGTCTGTATGCCACGCTCAATAGCCTCCCACTTGTTTCCTCCCTTGTCTGCTTCAAATAATTTCTGAATAGTTCTGCAATCGGTAGAATCGCATTACTTGAAAAGTAAGAACTTATATGGGCTAAAAAAGGTAATCAAATTGCAATACTGCTTTAACAGACAGAGGCTGAGCATAAAATTAAAAATATACTAGATCAACGATACCATCTAAGCTAATCCCTCCAATCCTGGATATACAAGCTTTTAGGAGTATGCTTTAGTCTTAAATATAAGATCTCCTGAATTTACATTTTCTTCATAAACTCTCCCAAATTAATACTAGAATTTCCAAAAGTAAATTTTCAAGCCTTCACCCTCGGTTATCAAAAGAATGTATGTCGAGAACTCTGATGACCAATACACTACTGGCATTGGATATTGAGTCAATGCCATTACAACCGCCTACTTAGTGACTTTGGATCATGCCTACTCTTTGGAAGATACATTGAAGAAACTAGAGAATGATTGTCATTATTACTGAATGAGTCATTTCATCTTTACCCGTTTACTTTTAATTTATAGTGAACTATACCAATATGCTATCAAACAATTCTCTAGCCAGAGAAGCAATGAAAATTAGGAAGTTCGCACACTGCGGGAACTAATTAAATTTGAGTTTTAAGCCAATTAAAATTAAAAGTAGTTAGCATGTTCAGTAGAGCATCATAGACATTACAAGAAATACATTTAGTCACCTCACTACTACTGATTGTAAGAAACATTAAAGAACTACTAATTTAAATGCAGCAAGTCGCAGCTATTACTGAACATGCATAGAATATATTAAAGCATCCTGACATAAATTGTGATTCCACAGGCAAAGAAGGGGTACTACCTGCTTCCTTCCGTGATTGCGGAAGAGGGAAAAGGCCTGGAAAAGGAAAGCCAGACTCTCCAGGTACAGGAACGTCTTCCAGACCCAAGTTAATGATTGCCTTCGTACCTTCGGCTAAAGTTCTGCAACCTTCAAGCCTCTTGAGAGCCACGTTAATGTAAAATGTCAGGTATATAAGAAGCTTATCAGCAGGGCTCTTGATATCAAAGTTTCGGAAGAAAACATTGGCGCGAAAGAACGTGATAGCTTCATCCACTATATCAGTTCTGTCTGCATGAAGCAAGTCTTAATTTCCAAATAAGGTAAATGAAAAGATTTTAAGCAAATTCAAAATATAAATAATTGAAACCTTGATCTGAATTTGGAGCCGGTCCCTTTATGTGGCTTTTCAAGGGAAGTAGAGGACACCCACAAGCTTTGTCGACTCCTTCTTCATCAACAAAACTAGAATGATGAACCTTCAAATCTCAAGTGATATCAGTGGAAGTACAAGTTTCGACAAATTCTAAAAGTTACTGTTAAATTTGATGGCCCTGACTTACGCAATTTATAACTACAAGAACTAGATTCTAAAAGCATAAAATGGGAACGAAAGAAATTCAATCTGATCACCATCTCTTTTCTCCGGATTAAATGATGTTCCACCGGACTAACTCGATTACTGAAATGATCCGATCCTCCAAAATGCAGCCCAAAATCTCTGGAAAAAAAAAAAAGATCACGGAAAATAATATCAACCCACGACTAAAAAGCAGATCCGAATTAACAGATCATCAAGATGCTAGAACCAATTGATCAAGATACCTGATAGAATCGAAGAAAGATATATTCACCAATGAATTACATTCAGCAGAACAAATTCGTAACAAAATTCAGCGACTAAAGAGACGATATAAAGTTGCTGGCACCACCCTCCGTTGGGTGAGGGAAGAGCAATTTCTCAACAAAGATTCGAGAAGTTATGCAGTTGAAAATGAATTTTTCGGAACGAGCGCGATACGATCGTTATTTTCCGATATTTTGAACCCCCGAAAGGAAACCGCGGATGAAACGCGATTTTCCAACAAATCGTTAAATGTAGTAAAACGTCGGCCGAAAAATCGCATTAATTTGGCGTAATACGCAAGGAAGCTGGTGTGAATGGCATGTGTGAAGAAATGAAAGGCAATTTACAATGTTCCAAACCCTAACACGACGGAGAAAGAAGACGATGGTACAAGCAAACAAGAATGCCGATGCCTCTTCCTGCTCGTCACTCTGACTATAGGTCAAAGTGGAAAACTCAATAAAGCGTGAAGGTAGTAATCCGTCATGAAAACGCATTTTTATATGATTTTCTTAATTTAACAATACCAAATATTGTAACATTAAGGGCCTGTTTGGTTTGAGGGGAGGGGAGGGGAGGGGAGGGGAGGGGAGGGGAGGGGAGGGGAGGTTTTATCTTACCTTATTTGGTTTGATTAAAATGAAAGGGAGGGGAGGATATTTAATGATCCCTTGTTTGGTTCAAGGAGGGGAGGGGAGGATAGTAATAATCAATTTACCATTTTACCCTTATATATTAGTTTATGTTTTTTATTGATATATTATATAAATTAATTTACATCTTAATTTAAATTATATAATTTAATAAAAATTCAGTCTTATCATGTTAATATGTGTATTAAAAAATTGGTACAGTAATTTTTTATTCTAATTAATATAATAATATATTTAAAATAATCAAATTAACAAATTTTATATGCTCTAAGAAAAATGAAATTTTATTCTCTTTAGGCTATCTTTTTTCCAGCTTTAAAATATATTAATAAATAATATATTTATAAAAAACAATTAATTTTATAATATTATAATTTTTTATTTTTAAATAATTTTTTATAATATATTTTAATTATAATAATGTATTTATTTTTTATTTTTTACTTAGGATGATATATTTTTTATTTGAAATAAATATAATAATAATATATTTTATGGGTAGAAGTGAAATATTAAAAAGTCTATAAAGGCATAATAGTCCAAAAATTTAACTCCCTTCCAAAAACCTCCAATTTGAAAGGGAGCCAAAATAGGAAGGGGAGGGGACATTTTAGCTCCCCTCCCCTCTAAAATTTTTAACCAAATGAGGAGAGGGGCTCATTTGCCCTCCCCTCCCCTCCAACCAAACAAACCCTAAGTGATTGTATGAAATATAAATAGTAATAAAAACAACAGTTTTATTTCCCCTGTAAAAATAGTCCTTTTATCTTACAAACAGCAAATAATACTAGTTTTATTTGTTAATTGTTAATTCTCAACTAGATATGATATGAGTCACATACACTAAATTAGGACCTTGCACACAGATAAGAAGTCCCGTTTCCTCACAAAACCCTCCTAGACATCTCATCTCTTACAAACATCTGAGCTTGTGACCAAGCTTCTATGACAAAGACTGACACAAATAAATAAGGGAATAAAACTGTACATGCCACTATGCCAGTTCCAATATACAATAAAATGCTTAACGTGGATTGGAGATCAAGAAATCAACATCATCACTAGAACAAGCTTGTAAAGGATGAGGTCAACATGTAAGGGAAGTTAGCCAAAGGTCCATATTGCTGGGCAAGTTCATGAATGTCCTTCACGATGTCAAACACTGCCTCTGGTTGGGCTAGCTTCAGTGCATTCTCTGACATTCTCTGCAGCTCATCAGATTTTGTACTGAACCATTCTGCCACTATTCTTGCTGTTTCCTTGGGACTTCTGGTGAACACTCCAGCTCCATTGTCTACCACATAAGGTACATTACCCCTTTCCTGCAGTCATCATTTCAACCATAAAAAAATTGAATATTTGGCGAAATCAGTGAGAAAATTTGAATGCAGAAGAGTAGAACAATTTGATCGAGAGAGATCTTAAGCAGACCTAACGCATGTTTGGATTCGTTTTGGAAAACACCGAAACCACGTTTTGGTGGAAGCAGCCTTTGGATTGCTTCTGCCAAAACATGGTTTTGATATACCATTCATAGTTGAGCTTGTGAAAAGATGTTTTGCATGCTTATATGTCTAGCGATCAGCTTAGTTTTTTTATACTGGATTGACTAGATCCACAGATTCGTATAAAAAAGCGATATACTGGGTCTACCTAACTACGCATAACATGCTTTTGTGTGTGTGTGTGTGTGTGTTCATGATCATTTGGCTTAGCCTATTCATACTTGATATCCCGGGTCTGCCTGAGATTTTTTTCATTTCATTACTCACCTGTCCAGGGATATAGTCATTGAGGATTATAGGAAGCCCTCTGATCAATGCTTCTGCAATAGTACCTGGTCCCGCCTGCAAAGTTCAGAAAAGTAGAGAACTCATAAGCCTATGCTGAAATAAGGAGCAGCATCTAAATTGCAGATAGGTTAAACTTACTTTAGTTATAATGCAATCACAGGCTCCCATCCATTTCTGCATCTGAGTCTCAAACCCTCTTATCTGTACCAGTTTAATAAACAAATGCTCAACATGTGCCATTCTATTCTGCAGATGATGCATTGTTGTCTGTTCAGATATGAGAAATTCAGATAGAAGCCAAACCTTAACAGGAATTTTCCATTCAAGAGACTGAAGCGTGGATGCTAAGTTCTTATTACGACCACATATTATTATCAACTGCCCAATTGGTTTCTCAGCTGCTTTATCCCAAAGTGATTCTCCCAGAGCCTTTGCTGTTTTCTTTACAGGACCCATGCCTTCGCCGCCCCCCATCAGCAAAACTGCAGGCAAGCTTGGGTCCAACTCAAGTTCTTCCCTTAATTGATCCTATAGATTTAAAACTCAACTAATTGTATTACCCAGATCAAAACTAACCATAGAAGTGTCAGAGATTATTATAAAACTATTCATAGCCAAGTTATTCATTGGCCTTTACTCAACGGTTTAGACTTTTGAATTGTAAATCTTTGACAAAATGCATACCTTGGAGAGAACAGCACGGGCAAAAGACGGCCTGATGGGCAAGCCATAAACACAGACTTGAGCCTCTTCAAGACCAACTTGTAAGGCTCTCTTGGCCACCTCCTGAGAAGGGCAGTAACATCTACTTACTCCTGGATGAAACCTGGGAATAACTCCAAGCTTAAGAGCGTGTAAAAATTGTTATTTTAACTAAACTAAGCAAGAGAATTAAAATGGTGCAGTGAACTCACCAAGTAGGGTGGCAGGAACTAAGATCTGTGATCACCGTGACAAAAACCACTTTATTCTGCAAACCTTGCCACTTGAGAACCCACAGTGGAATATGTTGCATTAAGGGATGGACGCTGATTATAATATCTGGTTTATACTCCATTAGCCCCGCTTCCACCTCCCTGACAATTTGAGAGTGTAAGACAATTTAGGATATACCACTTAATTTCAATAACGTAAGCCGTACAACTCTCAAACATTAACCTGCCAGCTCAGGAAAATATTACTGCTTTTTCCCAAAAAGAACAAATAATTACTGTTTTGCAACAAAGGTGAATGAGCAAAATGAACCAAAGGTTTCTGAAATCATCTTTTGTAGGACAAGATCATTAGAGACGCAAATGTGCAGAACTAGACTATCCAATATGCAAAAAGCAATCTGATGACGAATAGATATATAAATAAACATGTCAGAGGTAGGTTTCAACTGCTGACATGGTCATATCGTTCATGATTCCCCTGTCTTCCTAGGATTTTTCAAAGAAAAACAACGGAACGAACATAAAGTACGTCAATTTATATTCCAAGCATAGTAAGTTGTGCTAGTTATAATAGGAAGCTGCTTATCAAAGTGTATCCTAATACAGTAAATTAGGTGACGCTGCTAGCTGCTTAACTCTTGCAGTTACGAATTGTTATCTGGCGAAGCGTATAAGTTATAAAAAGGGAAAGAAGAAAAGAGATGGAGAGGATTGTACTTGGCATAGTAGGCAGCAATAGCAGCTAGATATACAGAGTGTATCCACTTGGGAGAAGTACCATGAAATGCAACATTCCACAACTGCACATGTTTCACCATAAATTTATATTGACTCTCCATGTCGTTCAATGGCCATCCAGTGTACTCTTTCCAAACATCTTTAACAAATATCTGAAAAAGACAGAGGTCATTTCATCAGCCCAGAAATGTGAAGGAAGAATTGATGATAGCATATAAGTCCCACAGTGCTGGGCAAATAGCTCCAATATAAATAAAAAATTGCGACAAAATCAAGGGCCGACAAAAATTTAAGCGGTTCGAGAAGAATACTGTGCAATGATTTTCAGCTAAATTTGACTACGTACACAGTAGAAATATTTCCCGGGTAAGGATGGAAGAAAACAAAAATAGCAGATCCAGAACGTTGTGTCTTTGATGGAGAAAGAATCTCAAAGGAATTCAAGATATAGAGAGAGAAAAGACGTTGAGATGATAGAGTAAGCAGAGCCCATCATAAACGAAGAACAAATTAGAAGTTATTTACACTGTACTCGTCCCCAAATTCCAATTGAAACGCATCACGAATGGCCTCGGCGGAAGCTCTGTGTCCGCCACCAGTATCACTCATCAAAATCAACACGTTCTTGGATCTGGCAGCTCCAAGCTGCAAAAGCTCCATCCCCGCGTCGTCGTCGCCGCCGCCACCATCGTCATCGGCGAGATTGATGTGAGTCTCCCGGCCATTTCTCTTCTGACTGCTACTTCCATGATGGTATCCTCCCACCTTCTGAAACACCTTCTCTGCAATGAACTTCGTCGTAAAGGCCATACCTCTGAAAGCCCCAAGCAGGAAAGAGGATTGAACAGGGAGTCAACAACCAAAGGAATAGAAAAGAACAATATTCTTTTTCTTAGTGACGAAGAGACCCGAGTCTCACCTAACGGTCAAGTCCCGTTCCCGCCACCGGAATTGGGGGTTTCCCGGCGGAGAGAAACGGAGAGTTCAACGGAAGAAGGAATATGCGCGGGGAATTCGGATCCTGCTCTTCGCCAGCATTGAGCAATGGACAGCGAACGAGGAAGGTTGATAAATAACGAGGTCCAGGGGGTCCCACATTCCGTTATTCTTCGCTCTTCCGAGACGGGAATCCTGTCCCTTCAGATTCTTGCATTGCATTGACGGCTTATGGTCGTAGGATCCCCGTATTGTGTATTTCCTGAATTTATGCGAGATTAAAATCATTTTTTCCTTGTTGCCCACTCGCACTAAACTTCCACGTAGCTTCCTTATTTTAATTTTTACGGAGAGTTTCCTACAATGAAATATTCATGTAAAGAATTAAAAAAGCATGTTAAAATGCTCTAAAGTTTTGTAATTATTTTTTTATTTTCTTACAGAAGGATGGATTATACATTAAAAACAAAAATAAATTAAGTAAGAAGGAAGCTTACACAAACATAATAGACAATACTGCTACGTACATTGAAGTCTAGTGGCACAGTAGAAAAACAGTTCAAACACAAAACACCCACGAGGGATAACAACATAGTAAATTAACAAGCATGAAATAAACACATGAATAATACAATTTCTGATTTTTAACATAAAAGTTAGTTTGACTTTTAATTTGATCATAAATATATGATCTCAATTCATTTTGCCTCTCGTATTTATATATTTTTTCAATATAGCTTTTGTAATGATTGCACATATTAAATGTTTTATCAAATGATATTTGATTAGTAAGATATTTTAAAAAAGACAATACATATTTACTACAAATAATTAACTGATTTTCTTAATCTATTTAAATTAGTTAACTGGCTTAATATTAAGGACGAGAAGCAATAATAAACTGCTAAACAGGGCTAAAGATACCAATTGATGCGCGAACAAATTTTCCTCAGCTAATTCATATCACCATAATGCACAAATCAACATAAACTTTACAAGAACAAATGTGCCTTAACGCCATACCTTCACAAGATGGCCAATGACATCTACTGGGATCTAATTTAATAAGAAAATAACAATAGCAGCTGTCGCATATATCTAGCCGGCAAGCCGTCTAAAACCTTCAAGTAGGAAGACAATGCTTAGTTTTTTAACATAAATTTTCTTCAGTCCACCATTGTTAGCTGATTCTTTTTCTTTTTCTTTTTTGACCAGAACATTGTTAGTTGATTCGAAGAAACTACAATTGTGTCTTTCTTTTTCATTGTTAAAAACTTCGAAATACATAAAGTTTTACCAGGGGAAAATTCAAATTATATTGTCGAAGTCTTAGTTAGGAATTTAATCTGGTCCTTAATACAATTTGAGTAAATTAAGAGAATTAGTTAAATTAGTTATTTGTAATAAATAGGTATTGTCTTTCCTAAAACATCCTTGATAATCATGTGTATTAACTAGAACTATCGTTTAATAAAACCTTTAATACATACAACTATTACAATAACTACCTTAAAAAATAAATAAATATGAGAGATGAAGTATATTAAAATCTTATATTTATGATCAAACTAAATGTTAAAATAACTATTATATTAAGGACCGGAGGTAACATAAGAGCTACTTAACTAATTTTAGTATATTAAAGAAAACAATTAAGTTATTTATTTGTCATAAATATGAGTTGATTTTTTTAAAGTATATTTTTTAGTCATGACTACTCTTTCTTCGAAACCTCATAACATAATACATGTAATCAATAACGATACTTTAAAGAGTAAATGACAAATTTGGAAAACAAAATAGATTAATCTCTTATATTTAGAACCAAATCAACCTCCTAGTTACTTTTTGGGTTAATACAAACTTTGATATCTCAAGTTTGTCTTTATTTTGGTTTTTGTCCCTCAAGTTTTAAACTATAGGTTTTGGCCCCTTAAATTTCTTTTTATTTATAACATTAGTCCCTATAATCTAAAAAAAACTTGGATTATTTTGCCCCTTGAGGAAACCAAACCTATGATTTGAAACTTGAGGGGCTAAAACCAAAATGAGAATAAACTCGAGGGATCAAAGTTTATGTTAACCCTTACTTCTTGTATTGGTACTCCTCCGGTCCTAATTATAAGACCCAATTGACTTATTTGAGGAGATTAAGAAAGTAAGTTAAGTTGGTTATTTATAATAAATAAGTGTTGTTATTCCTAAAATATCCTTGCTAATTAAGTATATTGGCTAAAACTATCATTATTAGAAGGATTATCTTGGAAAAAAATACATAAATATAAGAGAGAAAATGGATTGGGTCTTATAATTAGGACCAAATAAAAAGTCAAATTGGGTCTTATAATAAGGACCGGAAGAGTATTATGTTTTGAGAGAGTTTTAATATCAATGAACCAAAATTTGAGTGCTTCATGTGAGATTAATTGTTCGAAAAGGTTGTTCACGATAACATATACTGCCCCAATTCGTTTTAGGGGTTGTTTGATATTTTGATACAAGGTTTTGAGAAACAAATTATAAATAGACACCCGTTGGCCCCGGGGGAGGGGACCATAAACACCCTAATAATGGTGCAATTTAATCAAATTATTCTCATGCTCTCTAGTTTTCTTTACTCGTGATACAACAACAAGATACTAGCTCCCGTTATTAATATAAGATCCTATTTAATTTTTATTTTGATCCCAAATATAATATCCAAATCTATTTTGTCTCTCATATTTATACTTTTTTTTCCCAAATAGCCCTTCTAATAATGATAGTTCTAGTCAATACACTTGATTAGCAAGGATATTTTAGGAAAGACAACACCTATTTAGGACAAATAACTAACTCAACTTAGTTTCTTAATCTTCTCAGATTACTCAACTGACCCTTATAATTAGGACCGGAGGTAGTATTAAAAAACCATGCATTAATTACCATGTTAAAACTAAGATATACTACCTCCAGTCTTAATTATAAGAGCTAGTTGACTAATTTGAGGAGATTAAGAACAGAAGTTAAGTTAGTTATTTGTAATAAATAAGTGTTATCTTTCCTAAAATATCCCTGTTAATCAAGTGTATACGCTAGAATTACTATTGTTAGAAGGACTTGTTTAGACAAAAATGTATAAATTTGAGAAACAAAGTGAATTGGGATCTTATATTTATGATCAAAATAAAAATTAAACGGGATTTTATATTAAAGACCAGAGGTAGTATTTGATTATCCCTTGAGATTATAAACCCATAGGTAAAATGGAATAAAAAATTGCTAAAGTGCGGATCAAAATGAAAAGGAGGGAGTATATACCAATAAGATATTATTCATTGATAATTATCAAGACAAAAGAAGTAAAAAAATAAAATACAAAACAACTTAAAATTTTTTCAGCATAGGAAAAAGAACTTAAATTAAATTGACTCATATTATATAGAGAAGATTTATTTTTTGAATGTATCTTCAGTTCGGCCAAAAAAAAAATGTATCTTCAGGTTTTTTTTTTTGCTAGCATATCTTCAGGTATTTTGGGCTATTTCTAATGAGTTTTATATAATGTTAAAATGCAGCATTTAAATTTTAAAAACAATAATGAGTGTATTTGATACTCTTTCAATCCTTAATATAAGATCTATTTAACTAATTTGATTAGATTAAGAAAGTTAGGTAAGTTAGTTAATTATAAAAAATGTAATACGTTTTTTTTAAAACACCATAATCATCTTTCTTAATATCTCCTCTCATTCTTCTACTTGATTATGGTTGAGGGGTATTCATAAGGATAATTTAGAGAAAACTGACAGATATGATAAATGAGTCTTATATTTAGGACTAAAACTAACTCAATAATTGAGTCTTATATTAAGGATCGGAGAAGTATTTGATTTGATAGCTCGGCCAACAAATTTGGGTGAAAAAAACATTTATATCCTAGAAAATTTTAAAATTTTACTCATTTTAAAACTTGCCCCTTTATAATTTTGATGTTCCAAACAGACCCTTGTCTCATAGCTTCGATTCACTCACCCTCATTTACCCTATTTTCACAAGAGGCCCCAATTCTAGGTTTTTCTGTGCATCTGAATCTCTTTTCAGAGACCCTTCTCTGGGTAAGTCCTTCTTCGTCTTCCACTACCTGGGGTTCATTCCTCTTGCTCGACTGTGGTTCTAGTGAGCGCTTGTCGGAAAAATTAGCCCGAACAACTCGTAGAGAAATTATCTTTTTTAAAAAGAGAAGGTTATCATCTTTTTCGTCCCACCTTTGGACCGTTTACAAAGGTGCATTGGTGTTCAATTGTTGATCATTTGTTACTACTAGTTTGTGCATGTTGTGCATGCGATGGAATTGTCTGGAAATAATTGATCAATGGAAGTTGTGTTGGTTGACTCGGTTGATCACTATTTCCAGTTTAAGCATCCATCGTAGGCGTTTCCATCTTCTATTTTTGTTCGTTTCCATTAAGTGGGTGGGATTTCTGCTGAAAAGAATAGTCATATTATTTTTCCAATGTATAGGCTCGTCCATCATCTTCTTCCCATTCTTCTTAGATAAACAGAAATAGTCATATTGCCACTCTGGGGCCAGTTAGCAGATGCTTATTGGTGGTTTTATGTTGATGACTCGTAACCATAAATTCATATATTTTGTTCATTTGATGGGATTATTTTGAAAGAATTTATCACTGCAATTTGTGTCAAGTTTTGTTTGTTGACTTTGCTGATAACTATTTCTAGTTTTGAAAGAGTGCTTGTGTTCGTTGACTTTGTTTTCTCATCTTCTTTCTTTGCCCGTGTCCTTAAAAAGTATTCTGTCTTTGGTGAAAACAAAGCTGTTATTTCACAGTTTTCGTTTTTGTGCAAGGAACACAAGCACTCTTTCTTGACGTTGTTGGCCTTCCTCTAAATGGTTATTGTCCGTAAATGCAATTTTAAATTTACTTGTTGACTGTTGAGTATAATTTAGACACTTACTCATGAACTTCAATCTAGTTGTGGAAATGGTGAGGGGGAAGCTTATACTGATCAGCCAATCTGGTGGTAAATTTTTAACAAATGACGATGGATCTATGTCATATACTGGAGGCGAAGCGCATGCGGTGGAGATTAATCATGAAACGACTTTTGAAGATCTCAAACTAAAACTTGCTGAATTATGGAACTTACTAAGTAAGACCCTGTCCATCAAGTATTTTCTTCCGGGGAACAGGAAAACTTTAATCTGTATATCAAATGATCGAGACCTGAAGAGGATGAAAGAATATTATGTGGATTCAATTACTGCTGACGTTTTTATTTCTGGGACAAAAGGTTTTGACCAGGAATCCTTGAACATGAATACCAGGTTGTTCTTTAAATTCTCTTCTTTCATTAATGTTTAGACAATGCTAATTTTCCACCCTTGTAAATAATGATGCTGCCCCTATAAAATGATTTTGTCTGCCAGAATTAGCCTTCTTATTGTTCCAATTAGTTCTACACAGTATATTCACATTGATTAAAGCTTACCTTCATTTGCAGGAGAAATGATATAAACGTAGCCGAAGCAGTGACCCCTGTCAATCCTTCAAAAACAAAACCTAAGACTGTTCGCAAACAAACAGCATCAGGTACGGCTGCTGCTACCTTAAGGTCCCCACTCACCCCTCTTGTTTGTATGCCAAATTTGCTGACTTTGTTATCTGTTAAATTGACTACCATAAGTCTCCCTGCAGTAGGCACTTCTGCAAACCGTTCTCCAAATCATGCTGTTACTACTAATCATGGCGCTGCCTGTTCCAATCCGCCTTGTTCTGTTTCCATTGCCACTGATACATCCTCTCATGGCCGAGTCATCAGTGATATGGATGCTAGTCCTGCAGATGCAGTTAAGAAGCGAAGGCGTGCTGCATCTCGGGCACTTACTGCAAATGGTCCGTCTATGAATGCAGAAGAAAGTAAAAAAGTGATGTCACGGAAAAAGAATAAAAGAAATCATGCTGCTGCTGCTGCTGATAATAGAGAGGACCAGCTATATTTGCCATGTAATGACTATTCTGACAATTTGCTTGATGTTGGATCTGACATAACTCCGGGAAAATTAGCTGAATGTTGGAAAGACAGTATTACTGGTGTTGGACAGGACTTTCCAAGTGTCCAAGAATTTCGTGACGCCTTGCAGAAATATGCCATGGCACATCATTTTGCCTATAGGTATATCAAGAATGACACAGTTCGTGCCAGAGCCAGATGTGTATGTGAAGACTGCCCATGGAGGATTTTTGCTTCCTGGGTTCCATCTGATCAATCATTTAGAATTAAAAAGATGGAGGAGCCACATACTTGTGGAGGAAAATCTTGGAAGTCTACTCATCCCTCAAAGAACTGGTTGGTAAATGTTGTAAAGGACAGGCTACGAGATAACCTTCATCATAAAACAAAGGAGATTGCAAGTGCCATTCACCGAGACTTTGGGATTGAGTTGAATTACTCTCAAGTATGGCGTGCGGTTGAGGAAGCTAGGGAACAACTGCAAGGTTCATACAAAGAAGCATATAATCAGTTGCCTAGGCTTTGCGAGAGGATGTTAGAGTCAAATCCTGGCAGCTGTATCAAGCTCGTCACAGGTGATGACAAAAGATTTCAGCGTCTTTTTTTGTCGTTTCATGCTCTGATACGAGGATTTCAGGCTGGTTGCCGCCCTCTTCTATTCCTTGATTCGTCATCTTTGAAATCAAAATATCATGAGGTTTTATTGACAGCCACTTCACTAGATGGTGATGATGTTGCTTTCCCTGTTGCTCTGTGTATAGTTGATGTTGAGAATGATGATAACTGGAATTGGTTTCTAGAGCAGTTGAAACTTGCATTACCGACTTCCCAGCCTATGACTTTTGTGTCTGACAGAGAGAAGAACTTAAAGCAATCAGTTCTAAAGGTATTCCAAAATGCCCAACACGGTTATTCCATGTACCACCTCCTTGACAGTTTCAAGAAAAGTCTGAAGGGCCCTTACCATGGGGAAGGCAGGCCTTCTTTGCCAGTTAATTTCCTATCTGCTGCTCATGCACTGCGGCTCGATGGTTTCAAAATGTTCTTAGAACAGATTAGAAAAGTTTCTACAACAGCATATGATTGGGTCATGGAAGTTGAACCAGAGCAATGGGCAAGTGCAGTATTCAAAGGTGAGCGATACAATCATATTCTCGTAAACGTCGCTGAGTTATACACCATGTGGATTGACGAAGTGCGAGAGGTACCTATAGCACAAAAGGTAGAAGCTCTTGTATGTAAGATCGTGGAGTTAATAAACAATCGTCGAGCAGATTCAAGTAGTTGGACATTGAGACTGACTCCGTCAAAGGAGGAACTGCTGCAAGACGAATCCCTCAGGGCACAAGGCCTTAAAGTCTTGTTCTCATCAGACACCTTGTTTGAGGTTCATGATGACTCTGTCCGCGTTGTGGATATTGAAAAGTGGGACTGTAGCTGTTTGAGATGGAAAGCAACAGGGCTGCCATGCTGCCATGCTATAGCTGTCTTGAATTGCACCCATCGAAGTGTATATGACTACTGTGCGAAATACTTCACAGCTGATAACTTCCATCGCGTGTACTCTGAATCCATAAATCCTGTTTTTGATTATTTATCCATGAATCCTGCTTCTGATGATTTGAACAACGAGGAGGAAGCTAAGGAGGAGACAGAGATAGAGACTGAGAATAATGTACTTCCTCCTTGCAATTCTAGACCTTATGGCCAAAATAAGAAAGATGAGAATAAAACACCAAAGAAATCTAGGAAGACTGTCACATGTACCAAGTGCAAAGGAACAGGCCATAATAAGGCTACTTGTAAAGAGGCATCGTGAGTTTTCTGGACTGCCAATGCCACTAGGTGTAGAAGTATTTCTACTCCATCAATGTATTATAATAATAATTTAGGCTTATGTGGCGTTGGTGTTTTAACCCTTTTCTGGTTATTGGCAATATTTAATAAGAATTCAATTGCAGTTGGCTTGTTTCTTCCAATGTGTTTCGCAGGTATGTTATTCTTTGCATCTAAACTGTTTTAATCTCATTCAGTGATACCCATATATGACCTTGTAGAATGGTGCATTAGGCTAACATCTGTAACCAATAATGCAGATCACACCAGGAGAGCCATTATTTCAACAGCAAATGTCTCGAGTATAATTTAAAGACTTCTAAAATTACATTTTTTAGGCATACTTTCAAGTCTCTCTGTTACTATATACTGTTGTATAACTTTAAACTTTTTAACTAAATTATTCTTAATTTAATTTTTTTAATTTCTAAAGATTGATCTAAGTTGATGATTTGTTTTAGTTTAAAAAAACTCTCAAGTATTATATAATTTTTTAAAAAAATAATTCTGCATATATTTAAAAAGAAAAAAAAAATCTGTGATTTTCATAGGATTCATAAATTTATTTATACAAGGTGAAGGAGTAAATTTATCTATTATAATATCAAAAAGGAGTATTAGGCGTTATAATAAAATGTTAAATACAAAAATACATGCGAACATTTTAAAATGAAGCAAAATTACTAAGTCCGTTAATTCTCTCAAACATTTGTTAGTTTTTCCCTTTTTGGGTCCCAGTTTGTCTAAGTCAGCTGCTCTTGCCTACCCTGGTCAATCTCTCTCCTCCTCATCCTTCCTCCCTCTCTCTCCTAATTATCAACCGTCTCTCTCTTTCACCCATTTCTCATTCGACAGCGACACCCATACAAATGAGAAGAGTGAAAGAATGATCAGAACAAATGAGCTTTATCACAAGAGCATGCTTTTGATCTGGGATGAGCACTGTTCACTGTCATTTTCATAACTAGAGGAGTGAATCTCTGTGGCTGGTTCGGAGAGAGACGCGTTTGAATAGGCCAAAAGAGAATGCCATTATGGAGCAAAAAGAAGCAGCAACAATCATCGTCTTCATCATCGTTGACAAGCAAATGGCTTTCTTCTCATCCTCATTGAGACTATGGACTGAAACTAAGACCTTTCCCCTCTGGCTGTTAACGTTTGGTCCGTTCGGCCGCCATAAGACTAAAGGTTCCTCACTATCTCTTCGTCTACATTGAAAGCATTTTTGAATCAACTTGGCATGTTTAAGCGTTGTTTTTGCTGTGTTCCATGCTTGCCTTGTAGGGTCTTTGGGTGCTCTTCTTTTAGGTTTCCAGGAAGGTAGAATCTCTGCTCCGAGTTGACAAAATGTACAAGCTAATAGTAGTAAACCTGTTAAGCTTAACTAATTTTCTAGCAAAATTAAATGAGCTTAGCTTACTCTTGGGATATTGAATCAAGCTGGTTTTCCTCGTCGACGGTGTCCATGAGAGTGATGGCATCAAGTTGGGTATCCCGATCATCGCAGTGGTATGTTTCAGCACAACCATGGATACCAACTTCGATCACTCCCTTGCCTGATGTAGACCACACAAATCCAATAGCAAATAACTAAACTAATGAGAGAGAGATTGGTGATAGAAGAAGATGGTGCCAGAAAGAAAAAGTGTAGAGAGAAAGAATGGTGATAGAAGGGGGGTGTTAGGAGGAAAGCATAATGTGTGCTGGTAGGGAGGTGGTCACGTGTTAGGAGGGCAGGGGGGAGAGAGACAGAAGGGGTGAGAATGAGACGGTAGTGCCTCACAAGAGCATTTAACAAATGGAACTGGGATGGGATCCACAAAAATAAAAAATAACGGACGTTAGCAAGAATTAACGAAATGGTATTTTCGCTTGGTTTTAAAATGTCAATTTGCATTTTTGCATCTGATATTTTATTATGATACATGATACTTCTTTTTAATATTATAATAGGTATATTTATCTGAGTGCAAAACCCCAAAAACAAAAGTTCACAAAAGCCATTGCAAATATTGCTCCACAAAAATAAAAATTAGCCCTTGTTTAGAGAACAAAAATCTGGTGTTTGTCCTTGTAATTAAAAAATAACAACAACAATGATTGAATTTCATTTTACAGATTCAACAAATAAATAATTTCACAAATTACTAATTTAATCATTATAGTCGTAAAATTAAAATATTACATAATAAAATTAATATATCTACAACCATTTATTAAATATTCATTGATGATGTCGTATTATTACAGTATAAACCATATATCCCTATTTATCAAAGAGAATTTTTTCAAACACGCAGGTACAGTATACTTGTCAAATCATGTATTTCCTTTTAGGGAAAAAAAAAACAAATATTTCACCGTGACTTCTAGTTTACACACACAAAATTCGTGAAATTTGTAATAAATCACACTAGCAAGAATACTTGATAAGCAAGAAGGTTAAAGATAAAAGCTAGCATTTTTATTAGGCAGTCATTGGAATTCTGATAAATCTCCAGCAACTGCATTGTATCAGTCTCAACTCTCAAAACACGTCAAAGCGAAGCATAAGTTGCCATCTAATATTTCTCTCTTTACACAAAGCGCCACCAACTCAATAATACAGACCCTAACGTACTAAAACCCCTATACTGCATATCCTACCGCTCAAATTCCATTTCAAGCAATACCAACTACTTTTTGTGTCTTGATCTGGATTAGTCTAGATCCCCGATAAATCAATGACACGGATTAGTCTAGATCTCCGATCCCCGATAAATCAATGACTCGGATTAGTCTAGATCCCCGATATATCCTCGGGTTAAAGTGAGGCAACTCTGGCTGCTCCCCAACTAAGAACTAGTTTTCATGTCATGATCTTGCAGAGAACTCTACTCTTTCACCTTGTTCATGATCAGTAACAAGTTTTGAAGTCATCATCCTGCAAAAGTAGACCCACACACAGGGCATGGAGGGTCACGTCTTTCTTCAAAGCTGGTTTTCTGATCCAAGCACTCTGCATGATAAGCATGGCCACAAACCAGGACTGCCACAATTGAAGAATGGTCGTAGGAAGAAGATAAAGGATTCCCGTGCAAGAAATTTTTTCGTTTTAATGGCTTCTGACAAACCCACATACCATCTTGACTGCATCAGAGGATACTGCGTCTGCAGCTAAGGAACTCGACCGGATTCTCTCTGGCCGGGAAAATATCTTGTCTCTGAATTCTGGGGGAAAAAAATTAGTGTCAACATGTCAAGGGGAGAATACACATGAACAAGAAATCGCCAGAAGATAAAAGCTTGAAAAAAGAAAAGTGGTACTGCTCCTTTGGTCCCCAAACCCCAAAAAATGCATGTTCAACCAACTTAATCTTCAGAAGATTAGTTCACATCATTTGACTTTGAATTTCTTAAAATCTAATCAATATGATCCTGCCAAGGATAATTTGACGGTGAAGAGTTCACCCTAGGACCATCTAGAGAGGTTTTTCAAAATGTTTAGAGTCAAATGACAATAATTAAAATTGACCTAACCTATGTCTTTCAAGGACCAAAATGGTAGTTTACTTGGATAAATACATACAGAAGACCGGTGCTCCCAGAAAATTCAAAGTTGGATGTAAGCATTAGAATACAGGACATGTATAAAAATATAAATAGTTTAATTATTGAACAAATCATACCTATCCCACCAAGTGAGATAAAGCTTATTGCTGTTGTTGTATTGAACAAATCATATAAAATATATACTAACTTTAGCACTACAGGTGAGCAACAAAGAAACACCTGCGTGACGTTTGGATTCTGACTTAGATTGAGAAGCCAACTTAAAAGAAAGCTTCTCATCATACGAAGAAGTGTTCTTTCCACAAGAAGACGATGCATTGGCATGATTTGCAGAGTTACGTCGAGAGTACTGGTGACCATAGTAATGTCGTGAGCGCTTCAAAAACATAGAACGGCCGAGACTCTGATAGTGATGGGATGTAGTTGGATGGGCATTTAATAACTTCATAGGATCATCTGTCATATCCAAAACAGGTGCCAGAGGATGCATACCAGGATCGCCTGAATGTGAAGATTTCTGCAAAGAAGCAAGAAAACCAAAATACAAATGTATGATAATTTTCCCAAAGCTCAATGGTGACATTAAGATAATAATGCAAGAATAATTTACAAAATGAAATCCATGCGTCAATGAAGTAATTAACAACCATAAATGCGCAAAACTTCAAAAAAGGGGAGAAGAAAAGCAACCTCATCTGACAATAGTTCCATCTCAGAGGAGCATGGAATGACTTCTGCAATGTCAATCAAAAGAACAACAATAAATAATTATATTTCTATTTACAAACTAGAAACAAATAAAAAATCTAGAAAGTTACTAAAACGGGAAGAGGACTGTTAAATGATTTCGTCTGATGCGATAATGCAGCCAATACATTGCTGTCAGGTTCACAATTTCATGGAATATTTATCTCATGTAAATGATGAAACATCACTCGAAATTTCCAATTCTGAACCCTAACGTCACTATTTTTACACATAACCTGACAAAACAAAGCACATTGAACAACAATCAGCATAAAAAAGAATAATAAGTCATCAACTGATCAAACCTAAATGAGTCAGTGCAGTTA